TATATATATATATATATATATATATATATATATATATATATATATATATATATATATATATATATATATATATATATATATATATATATATATATATAAATAATATATATATATATATATATATATATATATATATATATATATATATATAAATGTATATATATATATATATATATATATATATATATATATATATATATATATATATATATATATATATATATATATATATATATATATATGTATATATATATGTATATGTATATGTATATATATATATATATATATATATATATATATATATATATATATATATATATATATATATATATTTATATATATATATATATATATATATATATATATATTTATATATATATATATATCTTTTAAACAAATTTTATTCAAAAAGTAACAGTATAAAAATTATTTAACGACTTGGAAAAACAAATGATTTGGTTTTTATATAAAAGCAAACAGGTTTTTTTTTAACTTCTTTAAAGGTAAGGTATTTAACGTTGTTCTTTTTTGTTCTTTCTAACATGTAACTGTGTGAGATGCAACAGATATATATACATATATATATAACATTAATTTTACCAAGAGTTTGATCTCTTGAAAAGAGCATCGTCTTTTAGAGTCACCATTGTCTTATAATTAAAAAATTAAAATTGTTACTAATTATCACTTATTACTTATTAAGTTGTTGAAGCAAAGTTTATATTACTGATTAAAAAAATTACAAAGTTTTTATTACTGATTAAACAGATATTAAAAGATTCAAGAGTACCTCATCGCGTGGTCAAAATGAGAAATATCTAAAATGCCAAGGATGCTCATAAAACTTCGTGTAAAAACGCGCACGAATGGTGACTGGCCTTAGTAGCGTTAAGTTATTAATATTCATAGATTATTAAAGTCTAAAAGGCTGTTTTGTTTGTACACACTACAGCTCTGGCAATATTAAATACCTTGACACTTATAATTATGTTTAGTAAGATATAAAGCTAGCATTAAGACTATAAAGTTTAGCTTTCGATATATATTGCAACAAAGTTTGTAATTAAAGAGCTGCAATATGTAGCCATCAACTCGCAACACGATTTGTTTTATGTTGAAGCTACAAATCTACGATATAAAGCTAACGATAAATCCTTGTAATAACGATAGTTACAAAGTTGCGTATAAAAATTGTAACACTCCGATTTTTACTATAATCATAAATTTATTAGGTTAAATAAAAAAAATTGAATTTTTTAAGACGTAAAAAATTGAATAACATGAAAAAAAAAAGTCTTTAAAATTACAATAAAGTTTACTTGTCGCTAAGTAGTCTCTACTAGAGAGTCCTTAGGTAGTCTCTACTAGAGCGTCCTTAGGTAGTCTCCACTAGAGAGTCTCTAGTTAGTCTTTACTAGACTTTAGCTTATTTCCCGGCAAGTTATTTTATATTTTAAGGTTTGGTTTTCAATGTGACAATTAATAAATATAGATAAGTTAGTACTTTTACAGGGCTTACAAACAGTTGTTTTTCTTTCTATATACAAAATGTAGTTTAGTGTGTGTAAATCCGCAAAAATATTAAATGAAAAGCTATTAAATAAAAATCATGGAGGTTTTAAATATTTCTCTAATCAAAATAGCGTTTTTTTAGAAGTGGTGAACCTTTAGCTATACGGCGAAAATAAGATTCAAAAAGTTCAAGCAGAGATTGTCTAAAACATATTAAAAACTATTATCGAGGTATACAAGAAACAATTGCTTTACATCGATTGTGATTTTTTTTTGCAATTGCTTCTTTATAGTTCAAAGAAAAGTTAAATGTTTATCCAGTTAACTTTGCAGAGAGTGATCCACTTTGATTACAGCTTTTAAAGCTTATATATATATTTTTGTGTACATTGGAAAAGCATCATTTTGACTTTCGATAATAAAGAACTAGTATGAAATTATAGTGTAGTTACTAGTGCTGGTTGTGTAAATCACAAAAACTAACGGTTAACTTTTCCTTGACATCAGTAAAGTTAATCAGTAAAAGTTATTAATTGCTAATACAAAACGTATAAGCGATTTGTAATTTTGACTGATTAACTTTACTGATGTCAAGTAAAAGTTACCCGTTAGTTTTTCAGTTTCTGCCAACCGTTAGTTGACCGTTTTTGTTTTTAATTTATAACTGCCATAAAATTTATTTTTCCAAACTAAATAAAAAAGAAAATGTTTAAATCCTGACCAAAGTTTGACTAACACTAACTTTTGTCTCTGTAATTCTTTAACTGCATTATAAGATGCATGTTACTACGGTACCTTTGAAAACATGTATTTAAAATAAATTCAAAATGTCTTTATTAAGATATCAGCAGCTTACTTACGTTATAGATTTGGTTTATAAATATAATTCAATTCAATTCAATTCATATATATTCTGAAATAGTTGTTACATTCATGGAAGTTTACAAATAGTACATGTACTAATGTTAAGTAAAAACCTTTTAAATAAAAGCTAATAAATATATTGAATAATGCAAATAGTAATATTATTCATCCACAGCAGTAACAAATTGAACATTAAAAGTTGAAGGAGTAAAAATACTAATATAGATAATAATAAAAGTTGTAGTTGTAACAGTAATAACAGTTTAAGTCAATTATCATTCTCCTAATGTTAACATGCAGTTTAATATAACCCGTTTTATGTTCTGCCCCAAAAAAAGACTTGCGCTTAGTTAAATTTTCAGATTTTGTTGACATGTAAAGACATTAGTTATTTTTGGTGCCCTAAGAAGATCTAACGTGTCACAGAGCACCGCGGCGGTGTAATAATTTTTGCGTCACGGTAAGGAAGGAGGCGTGAATTTTCTGGTTAAATGCATTTCCGCGGTGCTCTGTAACAAGACCATTAGGTTTTCTTGGGCCGACTAAATAACAAAAAAAAAACAAAAAAAACAAATTGGTTTGAAAAATGCTATGCAGAAGAAGATATTTTCTTTTTTTACATGTTCTTTTTTGATTATTGTACTAATACTTGTACTTAAAAGTTACACGTTTCTTGCCCATATTTAAGTCTGGCGATAACATGGATTCTTCAAATTACAAACCAATATCAGTTTTACCATAATTTTTTAAGTTAATCGAACGCATAATGTATAATTGGCTAAACAGCTACTTAACAGTAAATAACATGTTGTACAACAAGCAATTTGGCTTAAAAAAAATCATTTAACTGATCACGCTTTGACCGAATATGTAACTTATGTAACCAATGCCTTTAATGATGACCGTTTTGAATTAAAAGTTTTTATTGATCTGTCTAAAGCCTTTAATAGTCAACCATGTTATTCTTTTGAAAAAACTTGAACATTATGGAATAAAAAACATTAATTTACTATGGTTTAAAGAATACTTATCAAACAGACAGCAATACATTCAATATGGAAATGTTAAAACGACAAATAGTATAATAAAATGTGGAGTTCCTCAAGGCTCAACCTTAGAACGGTTACTGTTTTTCTTTTATATAAATGATCTATATCTTACCTCAAACATATTAAATTTTATTTTGTTTGCGGATGAATCCAATCTGTTTTATTCTTATAGGGATATTAAAACCGTCTTTAAAGTAGTAAATGAAGAAGTAAACAAAGGAAACAAATGGTTTGTTTGTGAAATAGAATAAAATAGTTTATTCTATTTCACAAACCTACCAAACAAGATACCTTTCTTTTAAATTACCCAATCTTGAAATCAATAATATAAATATTATTAGGCAAACAACTGTAAACTTTTTAGGTTTTATTTTAGACAAAATTTTAAATTGGAGGAAACATATAAACACTCTTGAAAGAAAACTTTCAATAAACATTGCAACAATGGATAAAGCAAAACCATTTTTGGATATAAGATCTTTAAAAAGTTTATATTATTCCTTTATACATAGCTATCTATCTTACGGCAATACCGTATGGGCAAGCACCAGCTACGCTAAGAAAATTTATACTAAACAAAAACATGCATGTAGAATTGTAGTAAAAAGAACTGTGCCTTGTGAGCCACTTCTACGTAAACTCAATGCATTAAATGTGTTTAAAATCAACATATTCCTCGTCATACAGTTCATGTATCAAATAAAACATGAACTGTCTCCAACAATATTCTATCCTTATTTTAGAGAAGTAAGCCATAAATACCCCACCAAGTTCTCAGAAAATAACTTTGTAACTCAGTTATATAACAAAGTTATATCTTTGTAATAAAGTTATATTCTTATTCTTTTCAATACAGGGGACCAATTTTGCGCAAAAACATTCAGCATAATGTTAATACTAGAGAAAAAACATTTCCGCAATTCAAATCTAAATAAGACGTTATTTAGTACTTACGGATTTTAATATAGCAGACCTTCTTTGTCACTTTTAAAATTTATTAAACCAAATTAGCACCATAAATTTAAAAATCTAGACCATTTAACAATATTAAGAATTTCAATGTCTTTATCATACTTTAATTGAAAATATATACTCTTGAAGTTACCTACAATTTTCTTGATATATTTTATAATATTGGAACAGAAACATTATTTGAATTTTGAATTGTTTTGAAAAAAAATAATATATACAATATATATATTGAATCACATTCAGATTATAACCAAAAATAGAAATGTTTTATCATTTTTATACTATATTTTAATCATTTTTTTTTTTTTTTTTTTTTTTTTTTTCCAAGTACTTTTTTATTTCATAACATCTTAAAGTTGTCTTTTTTTAAATGCTGTTGCTTATATACTACGGATTATTATATATTACTTTTTTTTTGCATTACTATTGGGGCTCGGTAATAAGGCTAATGTATGCTTTCTTCTTGCTCCAGCCAATTATACTTTTTGTATTGTTGTGAATATTTTTAACGGCGAAATAAACTAATAAACTAACTAACTAAATACTATTTTTTGATGACCAATATTATTACAACAGTATTGTTTACTATAAAAATATTTTTAGTTGCGGATACAAACAGTTACTCGTTTTATAGAGACGTAATGAGCGAAGCCACGATGGCAATGTCGGATGTTATTAAGGTTCCCTTAACGAATATTTTCGGAGGTATTGTTTTAGTTATAGTTAAAAATGTATTTTTATATTGACATGTTTAGTTTAACATTTAACTTTTTAAGTTTTTATACAATATTAACTCAACATCATAGCAACATTAACTCAATCTTGAATAATGTGAAAACATTCAATTTTATCGGAGATTTTTAACTTATTCTTGTTTTCTAAAAAAACTCACTAGACAAAAAAAAAACTTGCTAAATTAAGATCTTAATCAAAACTTAAAGTTTTTTTTTTTTTGATGACAAAATTAATTGTTATCATTAACGGTACGCTAAACCAAGATACGTATTAAACTAGAACTATCAAATGTCTTACTTATGCAACTTCAATAAGTAATGAAAAAGTAAAGGATATAAAGCAACTGTAACTGCATAAAACTTTAGTTTAAACTCTCTATATTTAAAACTGATGAAACTAAAAAAGTTTGTTAATGCAATAATAAAAATAAAGTTTGATTTTCAGTTTTTTTGTTTATTTATTTCAAAACGAAGTTTGTTTTCACGACTTACTACAATCTGAATATATTTTGTTTCATCATTTCAACACTTGAAAAATGTTGTGTTAACTGTAGTTACAGATAAAGATAACTTTTAAAAAAATCAAAGAAAAAAAGTAGTTTAGAACTAGTTTTTTTTCTGGTAACAATAAAAATATCAGTAATGTTAGAAATTTATAACTACGCAAAAAAAAGTTTTACAAATTTAAAATATTAAAAAATTATAATTATATTGTAAATTAGTCGTTTTGAGCGGTTTGTTTGAGTTTCACTCATGATATTGTTTCTTCTATTCGTTGATATTAGTGGCTGCTTCTGAAGGTGCACTTAGTAATTGATGAGCAAACTATAGCGGACTTCTCATAACGCTTAGTGGGCCAGGTATATGGGAAGTGGTAGACAAAACCTAATTTTTACCCAATTGGTCCACAAACCCATTTAGATATATAAATAATCATTATATATGAAATAATATTTATTTTTAACAAGAATATTTTACTTTTTAATAAAAAAAAAGACATTTAATAGGCTTAGGTAGTAAAAAAATATTTTTTTTAATATCAACTTTTTTTAAAAATCCAACAACAAATTGTGTTTAGCTACAAAGAAAAAGAAGAAGGTGAAGCTGATTCCCTCAGCAAAGTCAAAACTTCACTGGGGTATTTTTTTAAACTCTTACAATTTTTTTTATGACACTTTCTTAATGATGTTATGACAGGATCACTAGATACAAGTAGCCTGTTAACTAGGTCACGATTTGTGTCGATTCTGGAAGTCTTTCTACTGAAATCTTCCCTAAACTTTTTAAAATCCTTGTTACAGGCCTCTTGGGCCTCCTCTAACATCAGTCCAATTGGCAAATACTGTCTAGCAATGATGGCATGGCCATGAACTAAAATTTTGTGTACTGATTGTGCCATGTAATACCAGGAATACTTAGATATGTAAAGTTTAAGAGCAGTAATACAGAACTCTTTAAATTTGACAGTGTCAGTATCAAATCCAGATGATAAAGTGACTAGTATGGTGTAAAAATAAAATAAAAGAGTTTCATCTACTTTTAAAATTTTGGCAGTTGATCGATAGTTTGCAAAGGTTCGTCGGGCCGTGTTACCATCATTACTGGTACCTACAAATTGTATATATGTGATAGTTAACCTGATGATTTATACAAAAGTATTTATGTAATTTTACTTACCAGATCCTCCACTTTTTAGGAAATCCACAACTAGTCCCATTTGGTTCATAAATTCTGTCTATACGTTTCTTCACTTGCATAACATTTTCCTTTTCTTCTATAGCTCTAGACTGGCACTTTTGAGTTTCTAGTTTATATCCAATATGCAATACCATTTCAAAAAACCTAATCCAGGCATGCAGGCTAGAAAGACCATATTTCAATTCTAAATTATTAGAATTGTCCAATTTCAGCACCATTTCTAAGTTATTCATGTTTTTTGGAGACACACCACACACAGAGCAACATTGAGTTGAGTTAGTCACATGAGACAGAATAGTTAGAATTTTGCCGTCAATCATGGTCACTTCAATAATACTTTTGACAACCAGTTCCTTTCCATTAAAAGTAAAATTAAAAACACCACATTTTTTGATTTCAGATTCTAAATATTTTGCTTCTTCTATAACAACTGCTTTGCTTTCATTTTGAAAAGAAAATCTTATTGGACGACAATATGCAGTAGATGATGGCTTTTCATTTCGCCACAATAGTACTTTTTTGTTATTACAAAATCCACTGAGTTCTAGTGGTGCTAAGCAAGTAATGAACAGAGATTCTTCTTTTTTTAAGTTACGATCTCCAGCTTCCTCACTACTAATTTGCTTGTACATGCTTTGCCCAGTAGCCCCATCAAACCCAGCCTTGCAACGCAAAGTCAACCGGGTCAAACCATCTAGCGTTGTGCTGATCACAGGAGCTTGCACCTCACAGTTTTTTTACTGTATATTTTAATAATTCTTGTAGTGGTACATGTGCTGAATAAATATCAACAAAGATGTTCTCTGGATAGCACTTAGCTTTGGACAATCTTATGTTGTTGTATGAAAGATATATATGTCAGTCACGTTCTTCAGCTCCATTTCTCATAAGTTGGTAGGTTGATTTTGACATGCCACCAACTATAATTAATGCCAGACCTTCATCAGGTGTATACTTTTTGAATTGACTAGAAAGTTCTGATATCTCAGCAACTTGCTTGGCAGCCTCATAATTAAACTCATTTCTTAATTTAAGCCTTGCTGAGTGGAGCAACTCATCACTAGAAAAATTATTTATAATATCATTAAGTCTTCTCCTTTTGGTTTTGTCAGAAGCATCTTTAAAGGAACAACTTGGTCTTCCACCAATCTTATGTAATTGACTAGAATTATCAGGCTTAGATATATTATTACTGTATGTAGATTTAAAGTCCTGAGTCAACCAATTTTTACTTTTACTCTCAAACTTTATGTTTCCTCGGTTTGCATCCTTCCATTTCTTTTGATAAACTTTTAAAAATGCAGCACACCCAGTAGAACCCAAATTCATAGAAACTAAAATAGATTCTACAGACAAAGAAAATGATTTATCACTCGGATTTAGTTGGTCATGCTGTATACGGTTATGGACATCTCTTATCTGCATATCAACTACAAAAAAATTAATTTAAAATTATTAGTGCAACCACTATAAACTAATATAACATGATTATGGCCGTTATTTTTATTTCAGATATATTTAATTAGGCCAGTACAATAAGCACAACACCAATAATGACAACAAACCAAAAAATAGGTTTGTCGCGAATAGCATTTTACAACAATATATATTTTTTAAATGTTTACCAAACCTAAAGGGGCAGCTATGAGCAAAATAAAACAGCATTAACAGGCTGTACATATATTGTATTAACTTATTCTACCATTAATTTGCTGTTCCAGCAGGTTCTAAACTATATGAGCTACTTTTAACATAATATTTTTATACTATAAACAAGAATCTTACCTTTATATTTCAAAATAAAACTGTGACTTTAATACAAGACCTTGGAATGGTCTTGTTATGGTATTTTTTGAAAAGCTATCAAATTAAATTTTAATAATATGTCAATTAATTTCGCATATGTTAAATAATTTAAAAGTTATTTGTTTTTATAGTTATGTTGTTATGGTATATTGAAAAAAAATATATATATATTAATCATTATATTCAATTGTAAATAATAATTGTACATTTATGATGTACAATGAAACTACAAATAATGTTTTAAACCATACATTATGCTCTTATAAATATAATGTACTAAGTAGTTGGAAGTATTTCGAAATTTTTTTTTTGAGGTTTTGTCTATTACCTGGCCCACTGTGTAACGTCTATAAAGATTCATTAAAAATCTGCTATAAAATTTATTCTGCTATATATAGTTATAAAATAATATATAAATACTGATATATATGGATGAGGTAAGTTTAATATTGTTATTTTAACTGCTAATTCCTTTGAACTGGTAGAAAATTTAGAAGTTTTTTTAATTTTTTTAAAATTAAAAAATTTTCTGTTTATAAATTATTTAAAATTAAATAATTTATAAACATAACATTTTTGTTATTTTCATAATATATTTTGAATACTGTAATCTTCAACTACTATTTTAAATACTGCAACATGATACAAATGTGAAAGTATCACAATTATAAATATCTTTGAAAACCATTAAACAATCTCAGCGAACTTTTATTAACTACATTTGCTCTCAATACCCATTTGAAAATCAACGCGACCTAGATTAACATGTTTGTCAGGAAGATTAAATCAGTATAAAAGAAAGATAAAATCAATAAAAGAGAAAGACAAATGAGTAAAAAGAAGGACAAAAACATAATGTCTTAAAATATAGTCTTACGGTATGCTAGTTTTGCAAAAGATGTGCAGAGTTTCAATGACTGTCAGTACAGTGGTGCCTGATATAGCACACCTTGATTGACAACACTTAAACAAAAAGTAGCAAACATTGATTTTTGACTTTTCAAAACTTGAAAAACTCATACAGATAGTTATAAATATTAAAAAATATTGACCACTTAATTAACTATAATAAACTGAACTCGATAATAATTTCGCATTTTATATACAAGTATCAGTCTTCTTAAAAAAAAAAAAAAAAAGAAAGAAAAAAGTTAAAGTTTTTGAAAAACTTTTCCCAAGTTGAATTTCGGTACTAAAAACTGTATATTAATGTTATAGTCCGAGCATTTGGTATCGATACACCGTTTTGAGAGATATACAAACTTTTTTTATGGTTCCTATACGTAAATGACCAGAGGAACTAAATCCGTTGGGAGCCAGACGCTATCTATTGGGCGTTTTACGGTAGCCGCATTTTTTTCCAAGATGGCGGCCAAAATTACAAAATCTCCTAAATCGACTTGTAATCGTCAATTAAAGCTATGTAATGTCTTCAAAATTATATAAATAGTATGAAACTTCATTTCTATCTATTCTACATTTTTTGAAATCCAAAACAGCCACCATATTAATTAAAAAGTTCAAAATGGCCGCCAAAAAAATTGATTTTTAAATATTTCTAAAACATCTTGCAGTGTATTTACACTCGTCACTCACTATATTTTATTTTCACTTACAAATTTTTTCTTTTTACATAGTTTCTTAATTACATAGTTGAGATAGTTGAGATGAGTTCAAGATAAGATAGTTGAGATATATCCATGTATATGATAATACAAGTTAAACAAATATTGTATTATATGACTGTTAAAAGATTAGTCGATATTTAAACCTTCAATTTTAAACTTATCATCTTCCGATTCAGTATCTTTTGGCAACTTTGCATTTGTTGCCGGATTGAGGCAGCTGATGTCTTCCTTACATTCGCAAAATTCAGTGCATGACAATCTGGCTTTCGAGCAAGAACATTGTGTGGTTCGGCTAGCTGTAGCGCAGCTGCAAGTCACCAGACATAAAATATCTGGAGGTGCTATTTGGTTTGCAGCAGGACTCATTCTTGACATAAGTTTATCATCAACAAATTCCCAGCCAAATTCAAGAGAACCCATGGAAGATGGATCAGGTAAATTAGCAGACCTCAAAATCGCCGTTTGGAAGTGTGCTCTGGCGCAGTGAAGTCTGAATACAGCCTGTGTCTGAGGCACACTGCATAGCTTTGGTGTTACGTGTTGTTTTCCTAAAATTTTTTTTAAAAAGATGGCAGAACGCATTGAATACCACCTCTTGCCTTGTTTTCTACCGTATAAAGATGCAAGAAATGTTTCAAAGACACTGTATTTCCCAAATAAAGGATGCCTTTAAATTTTATCAAATGTTTAAGCACGGTTCCTTTGCCAATGCCCAAAAAAGCTGACACGGCATCACATCCTGTTAGTACGTGTGCAGAAATGAGATTATTGATGATAGAGGCGTGCTGTTTTATGGTTTCATTTATATCAATAACAGCTCCTCCTCCACTAAATGACTCCATTCTAACCTATAAATATAAATGAAATTATATGTAAACAATAACAAATGGATGATATTTGTAATATAATATTATAAAACCGCAAATATAGTAAAAAATATTTTATTAGCCTAAACTCATAAATACCTCTACGTGTGTTGACTGTCATGCACATGGTGTACCAATAAGGCAAAAACATCAGTGTCTTCTGACAACACAGTTATTGGCAAATATCCTTGCTTTGCTTTTTAAAGTAAGTGATAGATCATTGTAACATCAGCTTCTTCCCGTGTTATTGACAAATCTTGTTGCTCAACGCCTAATTCAATAGGACGAGGATCTAAGCCAGTTATAACTACCCTTTTATTGCTTTCAAATGCAGTTTTACTCAGACGTTCGAGTATCAAGTAAATGATTTGTTTTTTATTTTCGATTACATTCAGAACAATTCCTTGTGCTGGTAGTGGCGAATGCTCTTGTAAAGCGAAAACACGACTGTACCCCACGCCACGAGTTGATCGACACGAAGACTTAATACCAAGTTTAAAATAGCGATCAAAAACAACATGCAAAATGCTGCTTCAAATAGCTCAAACCCGCTTAATGCAGGTGCCACCGGATTCTTTGAAAAATTCAAAAATCTCCACACTATTTCAAATGCGCTTACGGTTTGCAATTAAACTTTGTTTGACAATTTCCAAGACATGATCATGCAATGCAATGGCAAATAAGGGAGGACTATTGGAGAAAAACTTAGCATGACAGTCTTTGTAATATTTCCCATCAGCTGCATATAAATCACTTACTGCTCCATTTGCCCATCCGTCGTCGCGCTCTAAAACTTTTGCAAGAATAGATTGTTTGAAGGTAGTTTTCCCTGTCCTATCAGCAGTGCAGCAAAGATATGCCTCTCTCCATCTATCAGGGAGTTTTTATTTTGTTCTAACATGCAATTTTCTCAACAGAATAAACAAATCAAAAGGAAGTTGAAAGAATCTTTCCCTCTCAAACATTTTTGGCTGACTCTAAAGGAAGATTTTGCTCGTGCTTACTGTTGGCCCTTAGCCACAAATCTTTGAATGTGTCCTTTTGAACAATATATTTTGATACAGTTAGTATGGGTCCTAAAACTATCGGCATCGTTTCCCAATTTCAAACCCAATCCATCTTACCGCAATATGCTAGCATTTTGAAGACCAGCTTCTCTTTTAGAGATTATCAAGTTGTACTCATCAGTACCGCAAATGAGGCACTCTATTATCACCTAAAATAGTGAATATACGATGTTAATACAAGATGTTACGTAATATATTAGAAGAGTAAATTATACTTTTTAATATAATAAATTTGTAATATGTTATAAACAGTGGCGGAACTACAATACCACAAAACCCCGCGGGAGACCAAAGCTGTAAGGGGCCCATAGTAGAGAAAATTTTATAGGAAAAAGGAAAGGTTTACAATTCTAGATATACTGTAATATATTTATTTGATTTCTATTGAGCGTTTTTCAATAAACATATTTAGATAAAAGATATTCTTTCCTCTTTGTTGTGGGGGTCTAAAAAATTTTTTGCGGGAGGGGGGGGGAGCCCAAACGTCGAAATTCCGCCACTGAATATAAATTATAGTAAATAATAAACAATAATATTATCAAGTTAAAATAAATTAGTTGTTATAATAAATTGTACATTTCAGGTCTCCATAAAGAATTTAAAATAAGATTTTTTATATTTGAAACGAAATTCACACCACTTTAAGACTATTAAATCCTTAATATTATTATTATCATTGTTATTATTAATATTCTAAATACAATTTTATATTGTTTCTTACAAAGTTATATTAGGTTAAAAAACCTGCGATGTATTCAAGTTTAGCGTTACGGTGCTATTTTTTCTATTATTCTGTTTTATTATAATTTTTTAATGTTAAAATTTACAACTATGAATGTCATCAGTTTATTTGCAAACATAGATATGGTACAAGTTAATTAAATTTAAACCAGATTATACAATGTTAGATATAAATATTTTATACTATTTATACTTTTATACAATGTTAGATATAAATATTTTATACTATTTAAACTTTTATTTTATACTATTTAAAATTAAAATGACTAAAACTTTCTCGGACGTTGCAAAATGTTTTCAAAGTTTTTTAAAAATTGTGTCCATTCTTGTACCTAAAACCTTGAAAAAAGTATTAGATAACTTTTTTTACCTAATTGGTAAATCCATGCCTATGTGATATATTATGTTTGTTTTTTAAAAAAAAATGAGAAAACCTCTTTTTGACTTTTGATTTCCATTGTAACTTGAGTATAGTTTTAGTTCTACTTTTAGTAAAATTTAAAAATAATAACTTTTAACTTATTTAACTTTAATTTTTTGTCAAAAATTTATTATTTACAGTTGATATTGTTACTCATCGACTTTCCTCACCTTCCTTCTAATAGTTTAAAATGAAACATATGGAAGTAGCATCAGATTAAACTGTATATTATAGCTCATGAAATTAGGCTATAAAAGTTTATGCTTTGTAAAATGATTATTAACAAAGATTATTTTAACTAAAATCCTCAAGAAAGTACCCAAGTAAAATTCAAGTTTATGACTATCATTCCCGGAAATATATAGTAGAAAAAGGTTATTAAAAAATATAATAAATGTTCTAACTAAAATAAACAGTGATAAGTAATAATAATATTATTAATAATATTTATTTGTACAGTTGACGTCATGGATGCTTATTTCGATCCTTCAAATGAAGCTTATGATGCTGACACGTGTATCTTTGCATGCTTACAAAAGGGAAAATGTTTTTCTTCAAGTTATTCGCAAACTGGGCGAGTCTGCATGTTATATGATGTAAATATCAGAACCAATCAAAGCTCTTTTAGCAGTAATGTAGATTGGGATACTTACGTATTATGAAATTTGCTTCAAACTACATTTTATGTAGTTACCTAGAGATATAACATATTAAGTACAAAATAATATTGTTATTTATTTATGCACATAAGTATATATATATATATATATATATATATATATATATATATATATATATATATATATATATATATATATATATATATATATATATATATATATATATATATATATATATATATATATATATAATATATATATATATATAAATATATATATATATACATATATATATGTATAGATTTATATATATATATATTCATATATATATATATATATATATATATATATATATATATATATATATATATATATATATATACACATATATATATATGCATGTATAGTTAAACAATTTTATATTTAACGAAAACGATGTTACTACTATACCATTGTCAATTAAATTTTATTGTAAATTTTTTGTTAAAAAAAAAAACTAAATAATTGCATTTTATACTCTCTAGCATTTATGTTGTTTATTGCTTCTAAACGACAACGACTTCACTGTAAAAGATTACGGTTAAAAGACTGAACTAGTTGGTCAACAATACTATATTTTTTTAGCAATAACTTTTTACTGGTTTAATGACTTTTATATAAGCATTTTCTCAAAAATCTTTGCTTTGATACAAAAAACAATTATTTTTCATAAAAAGTAAAATTTCAGATAAATTTATGAAAAATGGTGTGTCATTAGGAAATCAATAGAAAAATAATAACATTAAAGACTTTATAAACCATTAGCTTGTATAAACAACAAATCAATTTGCATTTTCATAATTTCTGACATGATTTGGTTGTTATAACTTATATGAATTTATGTACTGGTTTAATTTTTACACGAATGACATTCAATATAGAGAGGAAGCAACCGGCTATTTTACATACTATGAAATTTTATCGTCATTGAATGCACAAAAACTTTTTTCATGTTTGTTAAAAAGGAACTAACAGCAACACCCACTGCTTATGTATTATAATAAAGTTTTAAAATAATGGTTTCATACGATTTTCAGTAGAAATGTGTTTTTATATGTCACTATCACAATTAAATATTTATGTAGTGGGTTCCTTTATGTTTTTTGTTTTTTTTTTCGTTTAAAGTTTAATTAAGTATTTATCATATTTTATAAAAATTTTTTAAGTTGATAAAAATTAATTGAAATGTGTCGAAGACACAATTAAATTTAATTTTTTTTCTTAAACTAATTCTCTCTCAAGAAGGCTGCTTGCAAGCACAATCAAGTTATTGCAAATTGCAAGTTTCAAACACAATTAAGTTATTGCAATCGCAAACACAATTAAGTTGAATACTACTAGAAAACAATAAATATTGTCTACAAGCGAAAAAAAGGTTGCAAAAGACTTTTAAAATTTTATGTTTTATGAGTCGGTAAAAAAATAAAGGTAGGAGAGAGTCCCAAAGCAATAAAAAAAAACAAGATTAACAGTTAAGTTTTTAGAGCAACGAAAAAAATCCTTTGATAAATAAATTAGTTTTTAAATAAATGAAAGATAAATTAAAAAGAAATATAGAAAATATAAATAAAAGTTTTTAGAACAAGGGACAGATAGAGTAATTGGATGTACTTTTGAAAAACTAAAGATAGTTGCAATTGCAGAAAAAATAAGATGTAATTTTACAACGACGGGTTTAAGCTTGGAAGATAGAGCAAGAAAAATTAGAATTAGACTTTCAGACCTTGTCTAAAAGAGAAAGAGCATCATTAGACAAATGAGTTCAATATGGCAATCTTTTATATGTCGCAGCAACATATAAGAGATTTTTAGAAAGGGAAAATAAAATTTGGAGTAGGACAATAAAGAAAAGCAGTTTTCAAGACGGTAATTTTAAAATAAGTTATATATATGGTTTCTAAGAAAACTCAGCAGTGAGATAACCTTTTTGCAAAGTTTTAGCCTCAAACTACGACTAGTTAAAGAAAAAGAATAGTTTGAAAAAGCAGGTAAAAACTATTTGCAGACTCAACATGACATTGAGAGTACTCGTAGATTATATTATATATTACCCAAAAATCTTGACGGTTTTCAAAAGGTCAAGGATCGTAAAAACTAACTTTGGAAAAGACCGTCATCTAAATAAAGATTGTAAAACAATATGGACCAGCTTACTTATATTAGTATTATTATTTTCATAAAAATTGCATATATTTAATAAGAATTTGTTTGTAAACATTTTAATTCCTGTAAACTCAACTTCTTCTTCATTTTGTCAACGGGATAAAAATCTTAAAACTGCTGACATAGCTTTACAGCTTAAGCTTGTTAATCTAAAAGAATCTTATAATAAGTCATCTTTTTTATGTATTGTCATTTTTTCAATCTAATAGCCTTGAAAGTATAAAAGCAAACAACTTTAGTAAGCAGTTTATCGGTATATATAAAACAAGTTAAAGCTTATAGCTTAAGGTTTTAAAAATTTTTATTAACTTTAGGACATCAAAGAAATCTTTACTGTAATTATAAGTAAATAACCGGTATTTGGTTAGATTTTCAACCGGTACAAACTAGAATAAAGATTCTGATTTTGACCATCATTTCGATTCGAAAGACTACTAAAAAACGAATATATGTAGCAAAATAGTTAAATGAGTTAAAAACTTATAAGGTTGTGATTGTTTTCAATGTTTTCAGCGTCTATTTCTCTACGCGAAACAAATTAACGCTGATTTGGGATTGAAATGCTCATGATTGCTGTGAATTGTGCAATTAACAAGTAAGGCGTTTTTAGAAATGCAAAAAAACGCACATCTCTTGGACTAACTGAAACGTACAAATGCATTCGTTTTCAATGGGCCAAGTACCACATGACTTGGGGAAAAGAATGACAAAAAAATGTGTGGTCCGATAAACAAAGTTCAATTTTAATGGTCCAGATGGATTTAGTTACAACTGGCATGACATTAGAAGCAATAAAATATTTTCAAATAAAAGGGCTATAGGAGGCAAAGGAGTAGTAATTTGGGGTGCGTTTGGTTATTTTGGAAAACCTTTGCTTGGCTTTATTACTACTAAACTAAATGCTGAATGATATAGAAATTTGTTAAATGGTCATTTGAATTTCATTTCGCAAAAATTTGGTAACGCCAATTTTATTTTCAAGCATGATAATGCTCAAATTTATAAAGCAAAATCAAACTTTTCATGGTTTACCAGCAAGAAAATTCAATTATTAGAATGGCTGGCGTTCTCACCTGATTTAAATCTTTTCGAAAACGTATATGATGCCCATCATAGCAAGACGCGTTTATGCAGAATGTCAACAATAATTTAATGTTAATAAATTAAAAAAGGCAATTGTACATTTTTGGAAGAACATATCTCTTACAAATTAAAAAACATTCGGAAAGTATGCCAAAACGAATATTTGAAGTTATTTAGAATGGCGGCAATAAAACAAAGTATTAATCGTAAATTCAAATTACAATACAAAACATTATG